AGGTCTTTTTTTTCTGTTTTTTTTTTTTTTTTTTTTTTTTTTTTGAATAGAAAAATGACAATGGAATGGCGACGAGGGTTTTCTCAGGCGAGGACTGTTCCGACTGATATCTGGATCTGGATCTGGATGTGATTGAGGTCGGAGACATGCACCACCGGTCCACCGGCAGTAATTACGGTGATATACATCTAGTTAAGTCCTAGTGTAACGTCCTTTGTGACTTCCGTTAAAATTGGAACGATACAGAGAAAGAAACTTAACTTTTTTTTTCTTTTTTTTTTTAACCACTAGTACCTCGCCCAGTGTTGGGAATTTAGGGAAAACTGGCAGTTTTCCCAAACTCCTGAAAATTCGGAGGCCGGGCCCGACGACGGCTGCCATTGATAAATCTCATCGGCGGCGGTCGTTTCGTTTCAGCCATCCGAAAAGGTCGGAGGCCCACCCGAGGCCCGCTATTTTCCCACGCGGCAAAGGTACTAGTGGCAGCTATATTTTTCTCGCAATTCCTCTCAATTCCCCAGCCCCCATCGAGTAACAGCAGTTTCTATGGCCACCACGTTCCCGCACACAACATAGAACACACACACGCACATGCGCACCATGATGGCGGAAGACCCTACCAATACCAGACAGGGTGAGTAAGCCAACTATCTCAGTTGGTCGGGGCACGAAGAGTGCCGCAGGTGGTCAGTGGGGATTGAATTCACTAAAAAAAATAAGAAAAACAAATAGAAACAGAATCATCACAGATGATATAACTCAACTTCCCCCCCGCCTCCCAAGACCTTGACTTGTGCAAGAAACATGAATATGGGCGAAGCACAGAAATCCAGAATGCAAAATCACACTGAAGTCCAAGTAGTCAAAGCCAAAGCAGATAGTACAATGGAACCGAGTAACCGTCCAATTGAGAATGATACAGAAGAATCGTGAGTCAATGTCCATGTCCAACAGGGCAACACCAACAGCATAACCCAATGTAGCTCTCTCTTATGAATGGCGCCAGGCGCTCTATCTACTCTACAGCCTAGCCTACAACTACAGCAATGAAAGCAACCAGACAACTTGACTACCAGCGAGTGATGATGTCAACACCAATGCCGACCTCCACCTCCACCAGGTACGTGTCCTCTTCTACCCACACTCTTCCTTGTTACCCACACAGCGCCCTTCACCTCCGAAGAACCACCTTCGCCCTCACCTCCCCTGCGCCCGCCAGCAGCCCGGCTATGGCCGCCAGCGCCCTGCGCCCAGGCAGCGCACCACCGTATTAGCGCTGCCTGCCTCCCTCTTGCCTAACGCAGCTTTACACAGCGCAGCACACCCGCATTCGCGCAGCGTGCCGGCAATGCCTGCATTGGCCAAGGATTCCTGCCCACTCGCCCTGCTTGCCTATATGCCAGTGCTGCGTGTGGGCGGCCTCCCTTCAGCCTGCGACTGGGCCCCAGAGGCTGAAACCAGCCCGATACAATTGGGCCCCGGGGCAATGCAGTTGCGCCTCCTTCATCGAGGCCTGCGGCCAGATTCAGATACTGGGCCGATTTCCCTTTGGCATTTTCAGCCTCTCTACCCAGCATGCATTGTCGGCCTCACGTTCGAGTGCCCAGGGCCTAACTAACTCAGAGGCCCTGGGCTTTCAGCATTTGCTGAAATCCGAGACTCGGTGCACTCCAACCAACTGGCGTGCTGCAACTGTAGGGACCCCACTTCGTGAAATGTTGGCACAGAGGGCTCTTGTTGATTTCCTGGCCCGCCTTCACTTAGGGCGGGCACAAGGCTTGCTGGGGCCTTAGCACAGAACATGTACATCATGGCAAGGCCCCTACTTGAGGGCTCAATCCTCACACTTGCAATGACGCTTCTGGTTGTTTGCAGGTGGTGAACACCCACCATCTCCATCCGGCAATCACGTCATCGGCGTCACGAAGCAGGAGCCTGAAAGGGGTCGGTCAAACGGATATGGGGTATCGAGCTGACATGGAACGAAGTACGGAAGCAGTGCCCGAGCAATGTGTTGCGGAAGCCATGCCTGCAGAAGCAGGGTCCAATATGCTGCTGGTGCGCACAGGGACGCGGATTTCACTGACCTGCCGGTTAGTCGTAAAAGGGATTCGGCGAAACATCTTGCGACTTTGAGCGTTAAATTTTGTTCTTGACGGACATCTCTCGACAAAACATACATCTTTATTTTTTATTTTTTTTCTTGTTTCCCCCCCCCCCCCCTCCCGTAAATGCAACCTGTTTACAGCAGGGTGTGGATGGGGGGGGGGGTACCGTGCAGCTTGCCGGCCAGCAAGGTCGGTGGAGGGATGGTGGAATATCTTCAGACCCCTTAATGTTTAAGGTCGCAATGACCACGTCAGGATCAGGTCCAGGCAGCACGGCAAATCCAGCATGAACTGATAGTGCCGAAATTTCATCCAGATTCGTGAATCCGGATGAAGAAGATGGGGCTGATACCCGGCTGTGCTTCCTACCGTCTTTACACGAATAGAACTCTCCCGGTCATTATCGCTCCATCTGGACCGGAAGTTGTGCCAAATACTGCTGTAATGAGCGGGCGACTGGGCGTTCTATTCGGGCAACGATGGTAGCTTCAAGTGACGCTATCTTCGTTCCTTCTGCTGGGTTCGTAGGCCACTTATGCAAAAGGGGGATTGAGAGCTGTTTGCAGTATGCAGGGGAAGGGGGTGGGG